ACACCTTCTCCATACACATCAGTCAATTTCTTTCTGGCTTGAACAGCATTTTTACCCTTTCTGAAGTAAAACAGTAAGATATGTCGAAAATGCTGCTTATCGCTCTCCATATTTAAAAGGGCACCAATCGAAAACTACTGCGTAGAATTAATTGGAATTTTTCACACACAAGCCTTGCCATATTATGAGCTCTCAAAGCATATAAAAATTGTACGGCTTAAGTGTGAAGTTGGGTGCAAAAGAATACAATTAAATCCTCTGTCGGGAAAAAACGAAATGACTTTCCGAACAACCCAATATATCTCCTAACTCATAGCCTGCGTATAGATATTCTTTTCGCCTATCTGCCTTTTCCTCATTTACAATGTACATTTGCGTTAATTATAGTTTTATAAAGAGTATTTTTACTGAAAGTTTATTATGGATAATAAAATGTGCATATATTTGATCTCTGTTATGTTGTCTATTTGTTGTTAATTAGTGACTATTTCTATTCGTGAAGTCATTCTCTCAGTCAGATAAAATTGAATATAAATTGGGCTATTAAAGTATTAGGGCACATGATTGTGGTTAATAGAATTAATTTACTTGCTAATACTTTACTAATTGCTACTTGTTGGTTGAGCAACTTTAAGCTGAACCTTCGGTTTTTTTTTAGAGCGTTGAAATAAATCAAGTTTACCGGCTAGAAATGGTTGCATGGGTAGGTATGCGTTATAGTTACAAATCTACTTTTATTCACTTTACCATACATTAATTATAATAATAACAAAGGCAAATCTTATAATATGTTTTTAAAAGGAAGTAATTCAATTTAAATTGCAACGATTTGTTGATTTATATCCTTGAACTTAAACTGAAACTTACTGACTCACAACGCTAACAAAAATATCTTTAGATTGGTTCATTAGTTTCATTTACGCTTATATTGTTTAGCGTAGTATGTTCATTATACGCAAAATTCTCTCTAACGGTAAACCTATTAGTAACTTGCACACAACACAATTTTAAATTTCTTTAATTTTTATTAAGTACGTTTCGTTTTGAGTGTAATTTATCTATTATGGTTATTGTCTAAATCTAGGTTGTATAATGCCTCTCGTCCACGTGAGGAGTCACAAGATTTTGAAATAGCTGACAGTGAAATATTATTCTGAATATTCATTTCTGAATCTTTTACCCACTACACACTACCTCAAATTAATGAGGGAAAAATTGTTACTGTTGTCAAACCCCCGCCGGGAATCGAACCCGGTGCGTAAAGCCAAAGGTAGTGTGTAATGGTAAAAAATTCAGAAATTGATTTTCAGAATAATGTTTCATATTAAACTAACTCACTTCTAAAAAATAGCTGACGATTACTGTATTGGTTAGAGGCGTTATTCTAATTTCGTTAGAAGATTATCATTTTACGTTGAAAATTTGCTTAATTTTTGGTTGGAACTGTCTTTTTAATTTCCCAAAAATATATGAGAAATCTAAAGGATGTTTTTTGTTTTGATAATTGTAAATGTGGGGCTGCGAAAATAGATAATGCTCCTGCTTTAACTGTCGGAAAATAACCTATGTATTTACCCTGAATGTAATTTTCGAACATCGGTTTTCATCGTCGTCATATAGATTTAAATTGACTTTGAAAACAGCGTTTAGAGGTGCCTAAATGGATTTTGATTTTGAACTCATAATGAACATGTCCCGAGCAATTAAGTCTCTACTTTGAGCGCTCCCATAAAATCGAACTTCATCTATCATTATAAATGTACTTTTTTTAAAAAAAATTGTTGAATTTTAAGCTTTACAAGTGCTTTAGAAACGTTTTACTATTAATGTTTGCGAACTAGCTCGTTTAATTAGCAGTTTCTGTTTATTAATGTTTTAATTCCCGTCGAGTATTATCTAGATTTTCCGCTTGTTTTAGGTCAATCATGTTCACATCGAACCGGAGCATTTAATGAAGAAACGCAGTGTTGATCAAAATGTACGAATTTTGCTATGGTATGACGACAGTGTCTATAGGTAAGCTTCAAATTCAAGCTATTTGTATTTGTTTTCAAATAATAAATAATAAATACCAAAGTAACTAGTCAAATGTTGTTTTATTACTTTTTCGTACTATGTATTTTTAAATACGTAACTTTACAGGTTAGACGAAGAAAAGTTCGAAGTTATAAACGTAAGTGTATTGTTATTTTTTTATTATGATTTGAAGCATAATTATGTATTTCAGAATACTATTTTACCAAAAGCTGTTAAGTTTTGGGAACAGGCGTTGTTTGTAAGAAAAGTAGAAAATGTTATTAGACTAACAAGGTAACAACTCTTGCAAATACAAAGTTACATACATACGAACTTATTATCGTTTTCTCAATAATAATCAAGCAAACGCACCTATTGGGATCCGTCAAATGGGACGAGCATAAAAACATGGCGTCGATTAGGGAAAATTTATCGTAGTTTCTATAGTGTACCGTGCAATTTCCAAGTTTTTAAATTACGATAAAATGATAAGTATTGACACAATATGTGCTTGGGCTGACACAAAGCCTCGGGAAGGAAATTTCGTTGAAGGTGAGCGTGTTTTTAATGCCAATCACATTATAAAATTCGGAAATAACAAATCCGGAAGCTAGCCTTCAAATTCCGTCAAGTTTACTGCCTACTTTTTACAAACTTCTGATTTAAAAAGTGATTCACGTTATATAATTGGTGAGGTGATTCTGGGTGATTTAAGCAATATCATATCAATGACTTGCACGTGCAAAGCCGATTTAAGAGAACGTTGCAAACACATTATTGCAACTTTGTTGTATTGCAGCAGGTAGGTTCTTAACCTCAAAATACTAATATCGTATCATTAGAATTGTGTTAAATCAATTACACAGGAATAAATAATTTCTCACTTTATAATTTTAGTATGATTCTAGTTTTAAATATTAAGGTTATGGCTGATGGTAAATACTTGCTGAAATATAATCATGTGCATTAAAATGACGTGAACAAATTTTTATTCTGGAATTCACTTCTTTGATACCTACTGCTTTCATCCAAGCTTCTATTAGTTTACTTTTTTTTCTAATTTTCCAAATATATTTTTTGCATATATAAAACGGTTAGTTTTTATTGGAAAGTAGTTAATGTAGGTGAAGAATGAAGATCTATGTCTGAAGTGCTATTGCAGCTTTTCACTGAACATATTAATTTTTTATTTGATTTAACTTTAGAAGAAAACTTCGTCGACTCCAACATCAAAAAAGTTTGTACTTTTTTAACGTGTTTTATCATTTTAATGAGCAATTTTACAATTTGCGTGCACAGTTCCTATGTAAATTTTTCCCTCATTCGAGTTATAAATTTTGCCACTAGATGGTGTATGTCCATTTGACGGATCCCAATACCAAAATAGGGCTGGTTGCTTTCAGTAAAGTTTTTCGTTGTTTTAGAAAATGCAACGACACTCAAATTTTTATAAAAAATTCGCTGACACATTGTATAGATAATTGCCTTGAAAAGACAATGTGTGGTGAAGTTGAGGTTCCTGAAGAGCATTTAGACGCATGTAGGATATGTAATTCGACCGGACAAGATTGTAAAATTGCCAAAGGTTCTAGGCCAGGTGAAGGTATAAATGGTTTCGACTTTATTTTTTACATTTCCGCAATGCAAACCGTAAGGTGTAATAAATCATTAACAGTGGCTTACGCTGCCCACTGCCAGCAAGAAACTTCGTTGGATAGGTGAGCTATGACGAATCTTGTTGTTGCATTAAAGTCGTCGATCTAAATTGAACTTCCTTTCTTCAAGACCTATTGCAGGGCATGCCAATCTGTGCCCGGAAAGTATAAATACTAAAGCACAGGAGTTGGAAACGTTACTGTCAACTGTTAAACACGAGATATTGCATGCCTTGGGGTTTTCTGTTAGTTTATTCGCTTTTTATCGGGATAAAGAAGGCAAGCCTCTCACCCCTCGAAAACCCGATACTGGAAAACCTATACTTAACGAGAAGTACGTTCACTATTACTTTTTATTTCAATAAAAAACGATGACAGAACTTTAGTGTTTTTTGATAACCCCCTCCAGGGGCTATAGGATATCAAGTGAAGGCTTCGGTCAAGATAAACACAGTGATAGGGATCTTACTTGCTGGAAACCTTAGGTTCAAGAGATATATGAGGTCTGTTTAAAAAGCATCGCGAATTTTGTGTTTTTTCAAACATTATTTATTCACGAATATCTATTTTGTTCCCTTCAAAATAATCCCTGCCAGATATTGTACTCTTGTGACAACGTTTATTTCATATTCTCGAAGCACTTCAAAAATTTTTTGTGAACTTCTTCAGCTCCTACTTCGATGCCATCTTTATCTCCTCAATCGTAGTGTAGCGTTGTCCTTTCATGGACCTCTTCAGTTTCGGGAACATGAAAAAGTCACAGGTCAGATCTGGGGAATACGGTCGCTGCGGCATTACTAGTTTCTGGTTTTTGGCCAAAAATTCACGCACAAGCAACGATGTGAACAGGAACGTCATCATGGTGCAAAAGTCAATTTTTGTTCTTCCACAAATCCGGGCGTTACTAGCGGATTGCTTCGCGCAAATTGCCCATAACTTGCAGGTAATATTCCTTATTGACCCTTCTACCCAATCGAATCGAAAAACTGTAAGCAGAACCTTCACATTCGATCTAACTTGGCGTGCTTTTTTCGGTCTTGGTTCGTGCGGCAGCTTCCATTGAGATGATTGAGCTTTAGTTTCCACGTCATAACTAAAAACCCATGACAGAGTCCAACAGCTCCTTAGCAATCTTAATGCGATGCTGTTCAATATGGTTTGGTGCTTAGAAACTTCTCTAATGGTGATTCGACGATTGGCCAATACTATTTTCTTCACTTCATCAATGTTTTCGTCAGTTGTTAACGTGCTTCGGTCCAAGGTAGCTTCACCATATGCCACAGTCAACATTCGGAATGCGTCTGCGCACGTAATTTTGTTTTTCAAACAAAATTTGATACAAATTCTTTGATACATTTTTTGGAATAGGCAAAAATCGAAGACGGGCTAAAACACGCGCAAGCAAAGCAGCTGTCAAAAATTAACTGAACATTCAACATTGTCGAACTTGTCGGTATAAGTGAGAGACATGAGTATCAACATAACGCCACAAAAAAAAACTGAAAATCGAATATACGTGACTTGCGGAAATTCAAATTTCGTGATAGTTTTTGAACAAACCTCGTACAAATCGGTATCTGCATGCATATTTAAAAAACCTTCAAAAATACATTTATTTTTGGGCAGGCAAGACCCCTTCCTATATGTACCAAGCCGTTGACTTGATACCCTGAAATGCTAAAGTTATGCAAAAACAATTTTTTAGTTTTTGAATTGTGTAGGTTGCAGACGTATCAATGGAGCGACAAAGTTATAAAAACGTTCAGACGAAGGAATTGGTTGGTTCGAAAGGGGTATGTGGAAAAAGAAGTGAATATGATTGTCCTTCCGAATGTTGTTAAGGAAGTGCAGGAATATTTTAATTGTACCGAACTTGAAGGCGCTGAATTGGAGGACCAGGGGGAGGATGGTACTGCCTTGACTCACTGGGAGAAAAGAATTTTCGAGGTTGGATAAATACAGTCAAATGATGGTAAATCCACTCACAGTGAATCGTTTTAATTTTTAAGAACGAGGCCATGACTGGAACTCATACTCAAAAGCCGATTATATCTAGGATCACTTTAGCTTTAATGGAAGATACAGGGTGGTATAGGGCGAACTATTCGATGGCCAGTTCGATGACTTGGGGGAAGAAGTTAGGATGTGATTTTGTCATGAAAAGTTGCAAGGATTGGATGGTGTCGAAATCCGAAAGGTACATAAGAGACTATATTCCGTCGACTGTTACTTAATTTTTGAAATTTTGCCATAGAGGTTTATCAGTTCATCCATTTTGCAATAAGGTAAAACGTGACCCCCTCCAAACTGAATGTACTGACGACAGGGCTTCTGTTGCCCTCTGTAACCTTGTAAAGCACGATGATGTTTTGCCAGAGCTCTATCAGGTAATTGGTTCACATTATGTAATAGAGATTTAATGACTGTTTAGTGGTTGAAATAGATCTCCTTGTCGTTATTCATCCGCAAGCATAGACATTACATACATATTGTGTGCGTTTCATCATAACAAGGTCGTGAGTCCGAAAAAGACTTATTGAACACGCACCTTCCCTCTTTCCTATCCTGAATCAATTTTCGTATTTTCCGCTTCTGTTACGTTTTTATGCCTTACCATTTCTTTGTTGACTTCCTCCATTTTCATGCTTCATCCAGAAGCGTTTATATATTATTGATTTCTTATGAAAATGGAAGCCAAGTTGGAGAAGAAAAACCTCTGCATTTTCGCAAACAACATTCACGTTTCGCCTTTATTCTGTACAATAAATGCGTGCGAAATGTGGATTCCTATTGTTCATGTTAACTGAATATTTTGCTACCAATTTCGTTTTGATTCTAACAATAATACCCTGAAAATAAAAAGAATTGGAAACGAGTTGATAATTTATGTTTGTGAATTTTAGAATTTCGATTCGATAGAGTATGTAGAAAGTGGTACTGAAATGTATTATGGTGGATCGGTAACGTTAGCCGATTATTGCCCCTATATTCAGGAATTCACCTGGAAAAACAATAACACTATAATTCGAGGATCTCACTGTAGTTACGAAGAAAATAATCCAAGTAAGCTAAATAATTAAATACCTCATCTGCGTAAGTGAATTCCTAATATAATATCATTTATAACACTTTGTGATCCACTTTTATTGGCCATTCAGGCTTAGCGTTCCACTTTGATTTCCGTCACGACTTTAAAAATTGATTTCTGCTTTGCTTGATACAGGAACTGCACATTTATTACTTGATTACTAATAAGAACATTTCTGTATATGGTTTATTAACTAAATGCTTAGGCCCAGGTAAGAACTTCGTCCTGGAGAAATATGGAAGTAATTCCAAGTGTTTCGACCATACTGCTCAAATGTGGGAAGAAAGATCCTGCCGTCAAATGCGTCAATGGTTGCACTGGGGGTCCGGCTGTTATGCCTACCGTTGCGAAAATGGACGATTGCATATTTTGGTAAGAAAAAAGAATAACAGGCATAACGTTTTTGTCAAATATACGAACTATATTCGATCGTCTTTTCTTTCTTCCCATTGAGATTGATTGTAATGCGTCCAGGAGATTGAACGTATTATGTGTGTGATTTTTTGGATAATTCTTTTTTCACAGGTGGGAAATTATAGTTACACCTGTTTTCATGCTCATCAGGAAATATCAATTAGAATAATAAGCGACAATTGGCTACACAAGGGTGCAATTATCTGTCCACCCTGTAGGCAGATTTGTGGGGTAAGTTTTAAATAATCATTTGTATCAATCTATCTCTATCACGTACGATAACCGTGGGACTAAGAAAGGTTNGAATCGATATCTAAAAGAAATATTTCGTTTTTAAATATTACACTATAATTAATTCCGTAACTATAGGTATAACATATGTTTAATTGGTATAAAAAAACACAACGAAAAAGGAATTCGTTATTTTTATGGTACGATTGTTTTTTTTTTTTTTTTTTGAATGAAGGTTGTTTTTAATATTACCATAAAATTGTATTGGTAATGTGATCTATAACATTTACATAAAAGGGTTTCTTTCACAATAAAAGGAATTCCCAAAAAATTGGCCGTTTTCTTTTTTTCTTCTTTTTTGAAAATACACGTCTAAATCACTTGTTAAAAATACCATTTTAAATATGTAACAATAACAATAACAATACCCATCATCTAGACCTTTACCGGAAACAATATTTGTTTTAAAAATATTTTGTATTGACCCTCCAAAAATTGCTCTATAGTGGCGATCATCTCGCAATCTTCTTCGTTTTCCTTTGAGCTGAGGAAAGATGAAAGTCACTTGGGATTAAATCTGGAGAATAGAGTAGATGTTTAAGCTGTTTCAATCATGTTTCTCAAATGATAGCTATCGTAACGTGAATGTTTTGCCGAGTTGAAGCTACTGCACCAGCATTAGCGTGCGACATGGGGATTTGGTGCAGCAGCTACCTAATTTTTCTCCATTTTCGCGTTATCAGTTTGACCGCTCGTATTTTTTTACATGAAAACAAAAGCAGTTTTTGTTTATATTTTTGTGAGTGTTACAAATACTCAATTATCATTATCCAGTGTTTCCTGAGTTTTATGATAACAAGTATACATATTTGTAGTAGTTATATTAATTAAATAAATGTCCAATGATTTAAGATAAAATTATTTATTCTACGTAATTAAATAACATTTGTGTTACATACACATATACATATTATATGCGTCTATTCTTATGCCTAGATATACGTATATATATATATAAAAATCCTAAAATTTCTACACAAAACTAAACAGATCTTAAAAGTAAAACATCAGAATTAATCTAATTAAAATTCTAATGAGATAGTGCTATAAATTAAATAATACTGCAGGTGTGTTAATATACATATGCAAAGGAAAAAAATACCTACTGTATGTAACTCATCTATTTTATGCTACTAATAATAAATAAATTATCACATGTAGTTAATATCAGTCTGAATTGAAATTAAATCATTCATTTTTCTATTTTACTCGTTGTCTGTTTCATCATTTTCAAACACACACATTACGTTTCATTTTCAATCGAAAGTATTGTTTATTACTATTCCTTTTTTCTTCTTTAATATACCTGTAGTAATGCAAACTACCCGAATAAGTTCAGTCTTTCTTTCAGTCAATTTCTTGAAATTGGTGTAAGTATACAATTGTTTGTTTGTACGGTAAATGGTAAATGCTGGATAAAATTAAATTGTACTCACAATTAAACATCTACCGAGTGTTCCAACAGTAAATATAATATTTATTTTCGTGAAACAGCACAGTTTTCATAATATTCAAATTTTTTAATGTTTACCATCTTCATCGAGACTTCCTACGGCGTTATGATGAAATCTAATAAGATAGAAATCACAATTCGCATTTAGAAGCTTCCAAGAAAGTATAATCATGTATTAAATTGTATTTATAAGATGTTTTGAATTTTTTTATGCCTCAGAATTAACTGTTTCGATAGAAAAAAGAAATGCAAAAAATTTAAGATTAATTGATTACAAAAACGACATAAGCTTTGAGTTTCAAAAACAAACGTAAAATTGTTTTTTTTTTCTTTTAATTCTGGAGCACAAAATATGATGATAAACATCTTTTAGTAGAATTTGAATCTTTTTAAAAAATATCCTTTTCATTTCACAAAAATAGATATTTACTAAGTGATGAACAAAGCAAGACTGTTCTAGTCTTCTTGGTATTGGTCTTGCTTATTCCATCATGGTTTTGGTCTTGCTGGTATTGTTTCGGTCTTCGTCTTACGTGTTACGTCTTTTTAATCTGATACTTACGTATTTTTAACTAAGCACAAATTTTTCTTTTTTTCAAATAATTTAACTAATAAATTCACCGGAAGTAATTATTTTTCTTGCGTATTTGGTCAAGACGAATACCAAATTTGCTCGTCCCTAATATTTACTTGTGGGACACCCTGTATAAAAAATAAATGGGTATTTGTGTTATAATAATATCTTAGCCGCTTCCTGCTTGATACAAGCCTACCGAGACCTCAGTAAATCCGAAATTAAGTAAACGTCACCAACCACTCAATCCATACATTTATTGAACAGTCATCTTATATAAATATTAACTAATAATGATAAAAGAGGCTAAATAATCTACGCATGTACTATCGAAAACTAATAGCGTTTTTAGCGAGCGTACGAGTACACTTGAGAAAGTTTTTAAACTGAAGCCACCGCAGCCAGTGTTGTGGGCGTTATTAAAACACTTGACCCGTTCGATTGTTGCATGCTAATAGATTCCTTGTTCTTTCGAGGGCAAAAGCAGCTGCATCTTCGTTTTTCGAAGTAACGCTGAAGCACATAAATATACGGGTCTATTGTAAAATAAGCACACATGCAAATGTCGGCTATCTTCGAAAATATTCTGCATGCATTCGAATGATGAAACACCTGAGCCAGAGGAATCGATATCTAAAAGAAATATTTCGTTTTTAAATATTACACTATAATTAATTCCGTAACTATAGGTATAACATATGTTTAATTGGTATAAAAATCGATGCTATTATTGGTTACTACTAAGGTGACCAACTATACTCATTTACTGAGTTTTGTACTCTTTTCGCAAACCGTCTTAACAGTCAAATTTAATATTCAAAAAGAAAGTTGTTCGAATGTGGCTACATTAATAGACGAACATCCTCATCTAGCAAAAAAAAATCCACTCCAAAGAAAAATATGTTTTTAAAAGAAAATAAAGTTTTTATCGTTTTTTCTTCTTTTTTTTCACCTATGAAATACTTAGAAAGTGTACTCTTTTTGAACAAAAAATACTTGATCACCTTATCTTTATATAAACTATGTACCACTCTTCTATCTGTATCTCATCCCTACATTTTTGCGAAAAATTTTTAAATAAAGGAGAGATTGCAATTATAAATAGATAATTTTTATTTCATAATTTTAGGGAAGATAAACTTCTCTTTTAATCATATACTACGTCGTGTAAGAATTATAATTAAAAAAAAAAAGAGAAACAGATTATGTTACATTTGGAGC